CACGCCTTTAATCCCAGCACTCGGGAGGCAGAGCCAGGTGGATCTTGTGAGTTCGAGGCCAGCCTGGACTACCAAGTGAGTCCCAGGAAAGGCGCAAAGCTACACAGAGAAACCCTGTCTCGAAAAACAAAAAACAAAAAACAAAAAACAAAAAACAAAAAAAAATAAAAATCTAAGCTCAAAAACAGCACAACTGGTTAGATAACAGGTTTTACAACATGTGTTGGAAAAACATTTAGGCTCCCCTAAGACAGATTACTCAAAGACCTAGTTTTTAAACTGAACAAGATCTCAAGAACATGTAATACACATGGATAAGTGACATACAACTTTAAAGAACAGAGAAGGAACAAGGTTGGTCTTTCTTGAGGTGTCCAAGTAGCAATTCATGAACTTTAGGGATAATCAGGTTTTCTAAATTAGCCATTGTTAGTGGGAAACTAATGGGAAAAAAAATCTAAGTAGTTGATGGGGGGTGGGGGGCTCTTAAAGCACTTATGTCAAAGATATGCCTTACAAAAATTATGACTAATGAAAACTAAATAACTACAGGTTTAAAATTAGTAGACAAGAGGCTGAAAAATAAGAGACAGGCAGCTTTGTCTAGTAAACACGCTAAAAGGTGGGTGTGTCCCACTGAGGGGAACAATGGCAAATTACAATCCTATGCCCTTTCTTGGAAGATGCTAAGGAAAATAAGTTAATAAAAACAAATATAAATTGTATTTTAAAAAGAAGGAACAGTATTAGTGGGGGGAGGAATGCTAAAGTCACATCAAATTGGGTTTATTATATTACATTAGCATCAGCATTTTAGGGACATATATTAATCAAAACAAGAATAAAAACAAATATTTTGACATTAAGGAATACAAGTTTGACTTTTAAATACATCTATCATACTATTTTATATACATCACCAAATACCTCGATTCCATTTTTAAACAAAACACTCTTTGTTGAAAAAATGTCTGTCTTGATTTCATCATTAGATGCCATTTCACTAACCCTGCATTATTTTTGAAAGGTGTAAGCTATCATCTGCTCCTGTCAGTAATAATCTACGAGCTTGTCCATGTATATGAACACATAAGTGGAAAAAATAGCCTATTTACCAAAATCTTTATTTGCATAATTTTAAAAAAAATTTTAACATGAGACTTGTCAGAAGCAATATGCAAAGCACATTAAGGATTTGAGCAAGCCAGACATTTATGGAAATATTTTCCTGCAGAAATTGGCTTTCTCAAACAGTTCTTAATCAAGGGCAACCCTAGGAGGGAGATAGAGTCAAGTGCTGATTCCTGTCCATGTACTTATCATTGTTATGTACATCATCTACAGTATGTGGCAGATATTACATTAATAGACTAGCTTTTGATTTTCATAAGGCTTTATGCTTTTTAAAGCATACTGGTTCTATTTTAGCAAAGTTCAATTTATAGAAATGAATTTTAAAGTGCATCTAAAAATTTTACTGTAATAATGTAGTATGATTCTTATTAATTGTCTTAGTTAGGCTTTTATTGCTGTGAAGAGACACCATGACCACGGCAACTCTTATCAAGGAAAACATTTAATTGGGCCTGGCTTACAGTTTCAGAGATTTAGTCCATTAACATCATGGCAGAAAGCATGGCAGTGTGCAGGCTGAGATGGTGCTGGAGAAGGAGCTGAGAGTTCTACATATTGATCCATAGGCAGCAGGAGGAGACTCTGGGCCACACTGAGATTAGCTTGCGCATATATGAGACTGCAAAGCGTGCCCCAACAGTGACACACTTCTTCCAACAAAGCCATACCTCCTAATAGTGCCTAATAGGGCAAAGCACTCAAACACATGAGTCTATGGGGGAGGGAGGATACCTATTCAAGCCACTGCATTAATGTAAAAGAAACAATCCTACTCAGATGACTTATGCCTTGGGTAAGTAAGTAGACCAAACAAGAGTAATTTGAAAGAACTTGAGACAGGATTAGAACTGACATACAAGGAGAAAAGATTGGTATTCCTATCTTCCAAATGGAGTCAAGTGCTTTCAGAAAACAAATCCTGATGTCCTACTCTGCCCTACTTTTCTCTTCACCCTGTTAGTGACATGCCACTCTCAAACAAAACTAGTTATTAGTTTTAAAGCATGTTGAGAAAGCATACAGTTTCCTTAGAGGTACCTTACAAAATAGGGAGAAATAAAACATGGGAAGGAGAGAAGCTGTAGGGAGAGGGAAGTAAAGGCAGTCTTTGGGCCTTCCAACTTTCTCCATATATCTATGCATTTCATATTGTTTCAAGTAATTATTTTGATAAGGAAGGACGACAAAGCATTTATTCTGTTATTCCACTGACTCATCATAATGAAAATTATCACAAAAGGAATGATTAAAAACAACAACAGCCGGGCGGTGGTGGAGCACGCCTTTAATCCCAGCACTCGGGAGGCAGAGCCAGGCGGATCTCTGTGAGTTCGAGGCCAGCCTGGGCTACCAAG